ATTAGCTGGGTGTTGCGGTGTGCACTTGGGGGCCCAGGCACTCAGAAGACTGAGGTGGAAGGATCATCTGAGCCTGGGATGTCAAGGCTGCAGTGAGCCAAAATCAGGCCACTGCATTCCAGCCTGGGTAACATAGTGAGATCCTGTCTCAAAAAAAAGAAAGATAAGAGAGAAAGAAAGAGAGAGAGCCGGGTGCGGTGGCTTAAGCCTGTAATCCCAGCACTTTGGGAGGCCGAGGCGGGTGGATCACGAGGTCGAGAAAGAGAGATAGAGAGAAAGAGAAAGAAAAAGAAAAGAAAGAAAGAGAAAAGGAAGGAAGGAAGGAAGGAAGGAAAAGAAAGAAAAGAGAGAAAGAAAGAAAGAAAGAAAGAAAGAAAGAAAGAAAGAAAGAAAGAAAGAAAGAAAGAAAGAAAGGAAGGAAGGAAGGAAGGAAGGAAGGAAGGAAGGAAGGAAGGAAGGAAGGAAGGAAGGAAGGAAGGAAGGAAAAGAAAGAAAAGGAAGGAAGGAAAGAAAGGAAGGAAGAAAGGAAGGAAGAAATTGAGCCCATGCTAGGCCTCTTGTACCAACATCAGCATCTTCACAAGATCCCCAGGAGGGTCTTGTGTGTGGTAAGTGTGAGTAGCTCTGAGCTGTAAGCAACGCTGGGAAGAGCATGCAGCTTGTCCTGGGCAGCAACAGCATTATCCTTTTTTCTTCCCCTCCTTGACCACCTTCTCTCAGTCTTCACCAGGTTTTTAGGTTAGTCTCTTACTAACTCTATTCTCACTCAAAATCTGCTCTTGGGAACAAATCTGGTCCATATATCCTTGGGTTAATTGTAACTAACTTGTCCCCACTGCTAGGAATATATGCATTTTAACAGACTGCTCAAATTAACTCCTTGAAGGCATCAGCTCACCTGCTACAGGAGAAAGCTGCGCTGAGCAGAGGGCCAGCTCTCTCAGTGCCTTTGACTTCATAGCACTTGGCCACCAGGAGACTGGTGTTAAAGGAATGAATGTTAAAGGAATGAATGAGCATCCATTCCCAATGCAAGGGTGACCCCATTGACTCAGTCGGTCTTTAGTGCTGATGGGGAGGACTGTTTAACTTGTGTGAGGATCAGACAGGCCTGGACACTGTCTTGATTCCCCAAAAAGACATGGCAACTTAAGGTGGAATAATCTCTACTTCTCAGTATCAAAAAGCATTTCTTCTACCTTTTCTTTTTTTTTTTTTTTTTTTTTTCTGAGACAGAGACTTGCTCTGTTGCCCCGGCTGGAGTCCAGTGGCATAATCTCAGCTCACTGCAACCTCCGCTTTGCAGGTTCAAGTGATTCCAAGTAACTGGGACTACAGGTGCTTGCCACTATGTCCGGCTAATTTTTTGTATTTTTAGTAGAGATGGTGTTTCACCATGTTGGCCATGCTGGTCTCAAACTCCTGACCTCAAGTGATCCACCCATCTGGGCCTCCCAAAGTACTGGGATTACAGGGGTGAGCCACTGTGCCCGGCCTCCTCTACCTTCTTAGTAAGCACCAACCCATTTTGGTTTGCCCTGCAATGACCTGAGTGACCAGCAATCATCCATTCTCCGTACCTGTTCTATTTCGTTCAACTTGCTTAGGGAAGAGATAAAATATTCAACAAGACTTCTGGTGGCAGCTCAATTTGAATACTTAGTAAGCATCACTTGATTATTACTTTGAGAAGATAATGGCAAGTTTAAGATTGAAGACGCTGAATGTACAATGTGCCCACTTTTCAGTAAGTAATTTAACTTGGCTTGGGCTGAAAGATAATGGAGATCCCAAAGCTACCAGCCCCATCACTTGCGCCAATGTCCAGCTGCTCCTTCTCTGCTCCCTAAAAGCCTCTCTATTAAGCCTGTTTCCTATTCCCACCTCATCCCGAGACTGACCCCGGGCTCAGCACCCTGATGGAGTAGACACTGGTGTAGGGATTAGGGAACTTCTGTTCTCATTCCAGCTTTGTGATAAACCAGCTGGGTATCCCTGGGCATCGTTTAACATTTCCAAACCTCACTTCTCAAAGGAAGGAAGTGGATTAGATCAATGGCTTTTCAAGCTTTTGGACTGCAACCCACAGAAAAAAACACCTGTATACCATCATACATACACTTGTAGATAAAGCAAACAAAAGTTCCATAAAACAACACTTGTGCTTATTACATGCGGTGCACTTGTTAACTTTATGTTGTTTTCTAGTCTAGTTTCATCTTAAAAATTCTGATCAAAAACTACTGAAGTGATTTCTGTATCCTCTTATGGGATATAACTAGTATTGGAAAAATACTGGACTTGATTCTATTATTACATTTGCTGTTAGGATTACTATGACGGTTGTTTGTCATGACTCCGGGGGGGTAGTTACGGGGAGTATGGGTAGGAACGTATCCTTCATTCACAAGAATCCTCGCAAAGGCCTATTTTGTATTATTTCTAGGATGGGGCAAAACAAATGTCAATATTATCTGAGAAAACATTTTAAACTATAAAATCCAATTCTCTCACTTGCTCTTCATAGGCTTATGTAAACAAAGCATTTGAGGCAAAGTTTATAGAGTAGCCAGGAATGTTTTTATTGGGGCTCAGCCTTTCTTAGTCAAATAACTGTATTCATTAAATAAATGAACGTAATTCTTTGAAATGCAAGCTTTATTTATGTTGACTTGACTTTCTCCTTATTATTCTTACACTTTGGTCCTCATTTTGGGAGACCTATCTGTGCTAACAAGTTCCAGAAATTGCTTATTATTTAAGCTCATACATATATACCTTTTAATTTCTTAAGTAAACAAGGAATTTTGTTTTTAAATGTCAAATCGCCAATGCTGATGAGAATATATTGAAAGAGCTTTCTCACAATTCAATGGTGGTGCTGAAATTGGTTCAGTTGTAGAAAATCAATTTAGAAACATGTACGAAAAGTCACCATAATTGCCAATTCCCTTTCACTCTTTAAATTAGTATCTTTGAAATAAGCTAAGGAAATAACTTTTAAAATACAGAAATCTGTATATGAAGATGTTCATTATGACATTACACAAAATAACAAACAGCACAGGCTTTGAAGTCAGATAGGAAAGCATTGCTACTACTAACTGTATGACTCTGAACAACACCTGAATCTCTTTAAGACATGGTTTAAACTTCCCAGGGCTTTGGGGGGGTTAAATGAGAAAAATGTATGTGCAGTGCTTTGCAATGCCCGGCATACATAACCACTAAATATATGGTTAAAAAAAATTCCTTTAATAAAATCATGGGGACAATGTCTGTGGAAGAGACTGCTTTTTTACTATAATCTAAAGCAGTTTTCTCAACCTCAGCACTGTTGACATTTGGGCCAGGTAATTATTTGTTACGGGGGCCGACCTATGTCTTTTAGGATGTTTAACATCGTTCCCAGTCTCTTTCCACTAGATGCCAGTAGCAGGCCCCCAACCACAGATGTGACAGACCAAAATCTCTCCAGACATTGTCAAATGTCCCCTCAGGTGCAAAATCACCCCACTTGAGAATTATTGATCTAGAGTTAAAACAAAAACAAAAACACCAGAATATGAAATTGTATACTATTAATAAACCATGCACAAATATTTGCATGTGAAATGTGAGTGGAGGAAAAATGCCAGTGTTTTTTTTACTTATAAAGCTTACTTTAATGTCACATTGCTTTTATATTTTTTACAAAAGTTGATTGATATGCATCTGAGTTTTTTTTGGCTTCATTGCTTTAGTAATTGTGCTTGTGACTAATTCTAGGAAGTCAACTGATTATCTTTGACAACAAAAAATAGAAAATTACCCAATGGCCGAGAATTGCAGTGTTGAATAACTTGTAGGCTCTTATTCCAATTGCTAATTTGGATCACTTTTAGAAATTAAAGAATATCTATCTGTTTCCACCCACTACTCCTTCTACTCCTTCATTGATCAATTGATCACTTAGGATTTTTTTTTTTTTTTTTAATAGATATGGTTCTTGCTAAGTTGCCCAGGCTGTCAAACCCCTGGACTCAAGCAGTCCTCCCACCTTGGCCTCCCAAAGTGCTGGGATTATAGGCATGAGCCACCACGCCTGGCCTATTTAGGACTATTAACACAAAAAACTTACTAAAAGACACCCTGCTTTGTTTGATGTGGATGTTTCTAGTTTTGCAGTCCCTGAGACAATGGTATAGCATTTCTTAACATGACATCTCTGTATTCGCCTCTCATAACTGCCAACAGATTCACTCCTTAGTTATAAAAGGAAAAGATGAAATGAAAGAAGGAAAACCCCTGAATTTTAGAATTGAATGGATTTTAGAGCTTTTCTAATGTTTTCCCCTCACTACCAAGCTATGCAAACTAGAGCCCAGAAAATTCACTTAAATATTCTAGGCTCTAGTTTAGGAGTGCAGATGTGCTAACGAACTTGCTGATATTGTTTCCAGATAATTTACTCACTTACTCAAATACTTTCTTGCATTCCTCCAAGATTCCAAAGTAGATGTTGGAGGTAAAGCCATGAATGGGATATTCTTGGGGTTTTCAGCTTAATATATTTAGAGAATTTATGTTTATCAATATCTTTCAGGCTGGGTGTGGTGACTCACGCCTGTAATCCCAACACTTTGGGAAGCCAAGGTGGGTGGATCACGAGGTCAAGAGATTGATACCATCCTGGCCAACATGGTAAAACCCCGTCTCTACTAAAAATACAAAAATTGGCTGGGCATGATGGCGGGGCGCCTGTAGTCGCAGCTACTCGGGAGGCTGAGGCAGGAGAATCACTTGAAACCAGGAGGCAGAGGCTGCAGTGAGCTGAGATCGTGCCACTGCACTCCAGCCTAGCGAAAGAGTGAGACTCCATCTCAAAATAATAATAATAATAAAATAATCAATATCTTTAGAAGCAGCCTAAACTCCTTCACGCCAGTCATTCTTGGACGTCTTCTGGCGACAACTGGGCAAGGTCAGTAGAAAGTTTAGAAACATGGGCAATCCTTGGCTCAGAGAGTTCAGATTTCATTACAATGCTGACATGGTCCACTGGCCACCTGCCTACACAGCTCTGCTGTTTATCATTTTCAGCTCTTGTCAAACACTCCTCTAATTACGGCAGATTTTCCTGAGGTGGTGAAGGCCTTCAGCTTCCATAGTCCCAGACATGTAGCCTGAGAATGCTCCCTTCTTTGCTCCACTAACCCATGACATGCTTCCAAATCTTTCACCTGCATGATTAACCTGATCCACTAGTTATTCCCTTCCAGCTACGACTGTTGAAATTTTGCAGAGTACAGGAGTACCCAGTGGATTTCCATCTACCAGCAGTTCTCCCAACTGGTTAATAGCATTGCTAAACACATACCTTTTGCTTTCCTTTGAGGCCACAGCCCTCACTCAGGTGCTCCATATCTCTCATCAAGACTATTGCTAATTGCCTGCCAATGGGTCTCTCTGCCTGCAGTCTTTCCACTAGATGCAGTCATACCACCACATGGCTCTTCCTATAATCAGCATCGATCCCGTCACCCTTTTATGTAGGGAGGTGCAGTTTACTTTGAATGGTTGACCCTGTGTCTGATTTTTCAAGCCAGCTTGAGATGCCCCACAATCACTCACCCTTCAACAAACTCAAACTTGCCCTAATCCTGGACCTCTTCTGTCACTTCTTATCAGAATTCCAACTCCTCATCTCATTTCTCTTTTTACATTTCTACACTTGTTCCCCCTGGACCCAGCTTCGTGCTTATCTCCTCCCTAAAGAGATAGATTCTGAACTGTCATTTCTTTCCTTTGCTTCACACTGTCACTAACCAAGCAGACTGCCCCAGCCAGCTCCTCAAAATTATAACCCTGGCCGGATCCATCACTTCAGTTCTATAGATCACATTCTGCCCAGGAAGATGCCAAAATGCTCACCACAAACACATAAGAGCTTTTACAATCTTGTCCTCTGCTACGGTTTGAATGTGTCCCCCAAAATTCATGTGTTGGAAACTTGATATTCAGTGCAACAGTTCTGAGAGGTGGGACCTTAAGAAGTGATCAGGTCAAGAGGGTTCTGATGTTACGAATGGATTAATGTCATGATTTTGAGTATGGGTTCATTATTGCAGGATTGGGCTCGTTATCACAAGAGCAGGTTTACTGTAAAAGCAAGCTTGACCCTCTCTTGCTTCTTCTCTCTTATGTGCTCTCTTACCCTTCAACCTTATGCCACGGGATGATGCAGCACAAAGGCCCTCACCAGATGCCATGCCATGTTCTTGAACTTCCCAGCCTCCAGAATCAGGAGCCAAATACATTTTTCTTTATAAATTACCCAGTCTCAGGTATTCTGTTACACAGCAGGAAGCAAACTAAGACACCTACAGACTACAAACAGCAGTCTGGGAGTCCAAAAGCCACATTTGATTGGTAGACCTGTTTGGTTTGACCCCTGCAGTAGGATGGAATGGAGCCAACATGGAAAAACCAGATTCTCTATGGAAGTCTGAATTCCCATTGTCCCTTGACAACAATTCACTGGGGCTTTAGGCATCCAGGAGCTCTCCAGCCACCTTGGCCCCATCGTGTTTCACTCACCTACATTGTCTGGCCCTGTTGACATGTAGTTTCAACACTGGGTTCCAGGCCTCATCTTTCTTTCTTTCTTTTTTTTTCATTTGGAGTTTTGCTCTTGTTGTCCAGGCTGGAGTGCAATGGCGCAATCTTGGCTCACTGCGACCTCCACCTTCCAGGTTCAAGCGGTTCTCCTGCCTCAGCCCCCTGAGTAGCTGGGATTATAGGCATGCGCCACCACACCCAGTTAATTTTGTACTTTTAGCGGAGACAGGGTTTCGCCATATTGGTCAGGCTGGTCTTGAACTTCCAACCTCAGGTGATCCACCCATCTCAGCCTCCCATAGTGCTGGGATTACAGGTGTAAGCCACCACACCTGGCCCAGTCCTCATCTTTCAACACTGTCCACACACGCCCAACTGTCCTGCCACATATCTGGGAATTCCTGAATTGAACTTTCATTTTCACATAGCTCTTTGCACTTTGGCTTATGCAAATGTCTAACATAAGAAAATATGCTTAAATTTGTTAGGAACTGAAGTTACTAAAGTTAAAACCCTAAGATAGCCTCTCTTTTTGTGTTTGTTTTGTTTATTAGAGATGAGGCCTCTGCTATGTTACCCAGGCTGGATTTGAACTCCTGGGTTCAAGGGATCATCCCATGTCAGCCTCCTGAGCGGCTAGGATTACAAGCATGCACCACTGCACCTGGTAATTCCTCTTTTTATACTTATCAAGCTGGCAAAGATTTAGAAAATAATAATGCCCTGTGTTGAAACAGGTAGAGTAAAATGGAAATCTCAAGCCTGCAGGTAGGAGTATAAATTGGTACAATTTTTGGAAAAGCAATATGACATTCTGTATTAAAAGCCTTAAAAATGTGCATATCACTTGACTCAGCACTTCAATCAATTGGAATTTGTCCTAAGGAAGTTATTTATAAATTACTGTTTGAGGCAGAGGAGAGATTCTGAAACCTAAGCAGGTTCTCGAACCTAAACAGGATTCAAATGACTGCTCTGTCAATTACTGTGAGACCCAGGTTATCTAAGCGCTGTTCCTCAGTTTCCCTTTCTGTAAATTGGGGTTAAAAACAGTATGTTTACCACATAAACTTACTGCGAAATACATAATATACTTAAAATACTCTGAATGGTGCTTGGTACATAGTAAGTTCTGCTAAAGTATCTGTCATCATTATCAATTTTATTAACAAAACTATTGCTAATAAGTCCTTCTAAATGTCCATAAGTTAGGGCTTTTCTAAATAAATTATATTGCATTTAAATGATGGCACACTATAGAGCTAATAAAAATTGTGACAAATTCTTCATGACATGAAAAGCCATGACATACTGTTAGGTGAGGTGAAATGGTTTGGATCTGTGTCTTTGGGCAAATCTCATGTTGAATTGTAATCCTTAGTGTCCGAGGGGGTGCCTGGGTGGGAGGTGACTGGATCGTGGGGGCAGTTTCTAATGGTTTAGCACCATTCCCCCTAGTGCTGTCTCGTGATAGAATTCTTGTGAGATCTGCTTGTTTAAAAGTGTGTGGCATCTCCCTTACTCCTCTTCCTCCTGTTCTAGTCGTGTGAGATGCTTGCTCCCTCTCTGTCTTCCACCATGTTTGAAAGTCTCCTGAGGCCTCTCCAGATGCTGAGCAGACGCCAGCATTCTGCTTCCTGTACAGCCTGTGGAACTGTGAGCCAATTAAGCCTCTTCTCTTTATAAATTACCCAGTCCCAGAGGATCACCTGAGGTCAGGAGTTCGAGACCAGCTTGGCCAACATGGTGAAACCCAGTCTCTACTAAAAATACAAAAAATTAGCCGGGTGTGGTGGTGCGCCCCTGTAACCTCAGCTACTTGGGAGGCTGAGGCAGGAGAATTGCTTGAACTCAGAAGGCGGAGGTTGCAGTGAGCCAAGATCATGCCATTGCACTCCGGCCTGGGTGACAGAGCGAGACTCTATCTCAAAAAAAAAAAAAAAGAATAAATTGATTAAATAAATAACCTAGTCTCAGGTATTTCTTTACTGGAATATGAGAATACACTAATGCATGAGGAGAGCTAGTTATAAAAAACAGTAAAAAACTAAACACTGCATGTTCTCACTCATAATTGGGAGTTGAACAATGTGAACACAAGGCCATAGGGAGGGGAACATCACACACCAGGGCCTGTCAGGGGGTGCGGAGCAAGGCGAAGGAGAGCATTAGAAGAAATACCTAATATAGATGATGGGTTGATGGGTGCAGCAAACCACCATGGCATGTGTATACCTGTGTAACAAACCTGCATGTTCTGTACATGCACCCCAGAACTTAAAGTATATTTTTAAAAAAAAGTAGACATGTAAAAATGTGCTTTTATATAAAAAACATATACTGAACTATTATCTCTAAGAATTGAGTTTAGTGATAATTTTTATTTTAGTGTTTATAGTTTTCTGTATTTTCTTTATTTTAAAAATGTCACTTTTATGACGATTGCTGGGTAGGTAGTGATTTAAAAAATTTCTTAACCACTATTAAACTTCTTGTAATGGGAGTTAAAGGTACATTCCCAAAATTAACTTAAAAAATTATTTTTAGCTTTCCGGCGGTGACGACCTACACACGAGAACATGCCTCTCGCAAAGGATCTCCTTCATCCCTCTCCAGAAGAGGAGAAGAGGAAACACAAGAAGAAACGCCTGGTGCAGAGCCCCAGTTCCTACTTCATGGATGTGAAATGCCCAGGATGCTATAAAATCACCACGGTCTTCAGCCATGCACAAACGGTAGTTTTGTGTGTTGGCTGCTCCACTGTCCTCTGCCAGCCTACAGGAGGAAAAGCAAGGCTTACAGAAGGATGTTCTTTCAGGAGGAAGCAGCACTAAAAGCACTCTGAATCAAGATGAGTGGGAAACCATCTCAATGAACACATTTTGGATAAAAAAAAAAAAAAAAATTATTTTTAAAAGAGACCCCAGTAAATATCTTGCTTTATGTTTCCACCAAACAAGGATATATTTTGATTTGTTGTGGCAAATTGCAAAAAATGGTCACAAATGTGTCCCACTGCTACATGCAGGCCGCTGTTCAGAGTGACTTTGCAGCTTTTCCATTAAGAGGGGGAAAATGTTTCTCTACCTCTTGGATCTAGTCTTGGCCATGTGACTTGTTTTGGCCAATGGAACATGAGCAAACACGACATGAAGGCGTCTGTCACCCAGGCTGGAGTGCAATCTCAGCCCAGGCGGGTCTCAAAACTCCAGGGTTCAAGAGATCCACATGCCTTGGCCTCTCAAAGTGCTGGAATTACAAGCATCAGCCAGCACACCTGGCCCAGAGATAATACGGTATAGTATTATCTGTAGTACTAAAGCACCAAGGATTGTGTCTCAGTCAGGAGAGAGTTTATTTTTGACCAAATACAGCCACGTTAAGTTTTGGAGATTTTCGAAGCAGCCAACTGTATTTTCCAACTCCCTCAATTAGCTAGTGTTAGCATCTTGGCATATTTACCTTGTGAATCTTTACTTTTCTTCTCTTAAAACTAGTATTCTGTAACTTGTATCAAATAGAACAGTGTTTATTAGAATAATTTCAAATAATACATAAAAGTACAAAGAACAAAGATCAAATTTAAAAAAGCACATTATGAAATCAAATACTTACAAGTAACAATCATTAGCATTAAGAAAGCAGTATTCAAAAATAATAATAATTCCAGCACTTTGGAAGGCCGAAGTGGGTGGATCACCTGAGGTCAGGAAATCGAGACCATCCTGGCCAACATGGTGAAACCCTATCTCTACTAAAAGTACAAAAATGAGCCGGGTGTGGTGGCTTGTGCCTGTAGTCCCAGCTACTCTGGAGGCTGAGGCAGGGGAATTGCTAGAACCCAGGAGGCAGAGTTGCAATGAGCCGAGATTGCACCACTGCTTTCTAGCCTCGTGACAGAGCAAGACTCTGTCTCAAACAAAACAAAAAACAAAAACAAAAAAAAACTGCGTTAGCTGCTCAAGGTGGCTCATGCCTATAATCCCAGCATTTTGAGAGGCTGAGGCAGGTGAATCACTTGAGGCCAGGAGTTCAAGACCAGCCTGGCCAACATGGTAAAACCCCATCTCTACTAAAGATACAAAAATTAGCTGGGTGTGGTGGCGGGTGCCTGCAATTCCAGCTATTCAGTAGGCTGAGGCACAACAATCACTTGAACCCAGGAGGCGGAGGTTGCCTGGGGAACAGAACGAGACTCTGTCTCAAAAAATAAATAAGTATGGCCGGGCACGGTGGCTCAAGCCTGTAATCCCAGCACTGTGGGAGGCCGAGGCGGGTGGATCACGAGGTTAAGAGATCGAGACCATCCTGGTCAACATGGTGAAACTCCGTCTCTACTAAAAATACAAAAAATTAGCTGGGCATGGTGGCGTGTGCCTGTAATCCCAGTGACTCAGGAGGCTGGGGCAGCAGAATTGCCTGAACCCAGGAGGCGGAGGTTGCGGTGAGCCGAGATCG